ACCGCCTCAGACGCCCTTCCGTGTTAGTCACCTGCCCGCCCCCATCTCATCCGTCCTGCGTCCTATTCCCATCCTGTCCTATCCTATCCCGTCGCACCAACACCAGCGCAGCCCAAGTACCCAGACCCTAGCGAGCTAGGTCTAGGTCCCCCCCGGCCACCGTCTCCCGGCTCTGCTGCTCGCCCTTGTCGCTCGCTATAGAATCATTAGATCATACCGACCAAGGCCGCGATCGCCGTCGCCTTGCCGTCACCATCGCTGTCACTGTCACACGCATCCCCCAGAACTTCATACCTCTTCCACCCTCCTCTACCTTTCACTCTTATCCTTCCTGTCCTCGCATTCGCCCTCGGCCTCGACCTCGTCTCGTTCTACCCTCCACTAACGCTTGTGTTTGGCTCGATACTGCAGTGCAGGCGCGCACCGAGTCAAGTCTGGTCCACCCTTTCGGATACCTACAGCAGCACCTACCTACCCAGGTGCATTTGCGCTGCTCTCGTTTCTCCCCCATCCGTCCTCGGCCATCCACCTAAGCAAGGAACATTCGTCCTCACCGACTGCTTGCTTGTCCATCAACCGTCAGCCTAGACTTGCCAGCTCTACCCCGTACCTGGCACCTTCGATCTGGTTGATAATCATCCCCCGACCGCTCTGCCTCGTTCTCGTGTCTTCTTCTATCTGAGCTCGGCTCTCTCAACTGCTCCCCATCCCATCGATTACATGACGACCTCATCTGCGGCCGACGTCTTCCGAATCTTATAGGCCTTAGGGCTACAACAGAGCTCGACAGTCTTCCTGCCATCGACAACACCAACAGGAAGCCATGGCGGGCCCACAGGAGTCTTCCACCTCCTCGGGGTCCAGGAAGTCGAGCGGACGTGCCGTAGGACAGTTCAACATTGGCTCCGAGATTGGCAAAGGCAGCTTTGCCCAGGTGTATCTGGGCTGGCATAAGGTACGACCAAGCTTCCCTTGTCTCCTCAGCCTGCTCCCCGTCATTGCACGGTGTTGCGCCGCTTGCTGGTGCAGCTCCATCACCTTGGCAACTTGTCAGTCATCAGCTCGGTATCACGGGGACTTTAGCTGCGAAACACTGCTTCATCTATTTCATTAATCATCAGTAGCTAACAAAGGTTCATCGATTAGGAAACCAAGGCTGCCGTCGCTATCAAATCCGTTGAGCTGGAACGGCTAAACAAGAAGCTCAGAGAGAACCTATATGGCGAAATTCAAATCCTCAAGACATTACGCCATCCCCATATCGTCGCCCTCCATGACTGCCTCGAGTCAGCAACACATATCAACCTTGTCATGGAGTATTGCGAGCTTGGCGACTTGTCCCTATTTATCAAGAAGCGAGAGAAGCTCGCCACCCACCCTGCCACTCATGATATGGCACGCAAGTATCCCAGCCTACCGAATTCAGGTCTTCACGAGGTCGTTATTCGACATTTCCTGAAGCAACTAACCAGTGCTCTCGAGTTTCTGCGTCAAAAGAACTACGTCCATCGCGATGTCAAGCCCCAAAATCTACTGCTGCTGCCCTCACAGGCCTTCCGGGATCACAGAGGTCGACCAGTCATGAAGGCCGGCAAAGGCACAACGATCCCAATCGCTGGCCTCCTGTCCCTTCCCATGCTCAAGCTCGCCGACTTCGGTTTCGCCCGTGTGCTTCCCTCCACTTCCCTAGCCGATACGCTCTGTGGGTCCCCCCTGTACATGGCCCCAGAAATTCTCCGATACGAGCGATATGACGCGAAAGCCGATCTTTGGTCTGTGGGAACGGTACTCTATGAGATGAGCACAGGTCGTCCTCCGTTCCGGGCTAGAAACCATGTCGAATTGTTGAGAAAGATCGAGGGTGCTGAGGATGTCATCAAGTTCCCGAGGGAGGTAACTATCAGTGCTGACCTCAAGGCACTGATTCGAAGTCTGCTCAAGCGAAGTCCGGTCGAACGTATCAGTTTTGAGAACTTCTTCAACCATCCTGTCGTTACAAACCCAATTCCTGGTCTAGTGGAGGATGATATTCCTCCACCCGAGGAAGAGGAAGAGGAGCAGGAACCAGAACCGCAACCTCAGGAGTTGAGGACAATTCATCAGAGGCAGAGGCTCTCATCGGCGTCACGCAGCCCACGACATACCGGACAAGAATCACCACGTGAGGGTGTGGCATCCAGGTCGCCCAGAGACCGCCACCCAAGGTCGCCACAAGCAGGAAGCCCAGGTGAAGGCCGATACCCTCGGCAACCGCCTGAAGGCCACCGGGCGACTGGAAGTTCTCCTCGTGAACTCGCAGAGGGCTTGGGCATCCGTCGCCCTGTGCCTCACCATGCAGCATCGGCACCCAACCAAGCCCGCCTCCAGGACCGGGTAACTGGTCGTGATAAGGTCTCACCACCCACGTCACTTTTGAGAGAGGCGCGCAGAGGCCGAGCATCGAGCAATCCGCCAATTTCAGAGGAGGAAAAGGCAGCTCAGGATGTCGCCCTAGAGCGAGAATACGTTGTTGTTGAGAGGCGCCACGTCGAAGTCAACGCCCTCGCTGATGAGTTAGCGGCCAACGAGAAGTTGGGTGACAATGGCTCGCATAGATCTGGACCCCTGGCTCGACGATACACGCAGCAAGGAGCACCCACCTCGACAACAGGGGCAGTTCCAACTCCATCTTCACGAACCGCCTTGGTAGCTCAAGGACGGCATGATCGGAGGTCGTCGTATGAAAAAGCTCTCTCCGCTAGTCCCGGATCGGCCTCGAGTGCCATCTCCAAGGCTATCCAGGATGCGAGCCTCCGCCTTTTTGGCTTCAGGGTGTCACCTGGACGAGGCCAGAAGGGGCCATCTCCCCCACTTTACCAGGCGTTCCCGGCATATCCGACTCCGCAAACGTCGGCCGGATTGCTCGGTGACGGTAAGAGTACCCACAGCACCGATGAGGATGGGCGAGCTGCGCAGGCCATTGAAGAGTTTGCCACGCGAAGCGATTGTGTGTATGGCTTCGCCGAGGTCAAGTATAAGCAGCTCGTCCCTCTTGCGCCGTCAGCAGATCATGGACTGGGCGGTCTTGAGCCTGAACAGATGGTGACGGAGGAAGAAGGTCTCACGGTTGAAGCTATTGTTGCGCTGTCAGAGGAAGCCCTTGTTCTCTATGTGAAGTCGCTCACACTCCTCGCCAGAGCCATGGACATAGCGAGTCTCTGGTGGTCCAAGAAGAGTCGAGGAGAGCAAGGAACGGGGCTATCGGCAGCAACTGCTCAGACAGTTGTGCAGCGTATTAATGCTGTGGTGCAATGGGTTCGACAACGCTTCAACGAGGTGTTGGAGAAATCCGAGGTTGTCCGCCTGAAGCTCATGGATGCACAGAAGCAACTGCCTGAGGACCACCCAAGCCATCCATCGAACCACGGAACCGAGTCGATTGCCTCTACTACGGGATCGACGATGAAGCAGGTTTATCTGACACCTGGCATCAGCGCCGAGAAACTTATGTACGATCGGGCACTTGAGATGAGCCGTGCGGCAGCGATTGATGAAGTCACCAACGAGAATCTCGGCGGTTGTGAGATTTCCTACATCACTGCGATCCGCATGCTCGAGGCGGTACTGGACAGTGATGAGGATCCTCAGATGGAGAAGAGGAAGCTGTCCACGGGCAAGGAAGCCGACAATGCTGTCAGGGAAATGAACGGCGGTGAACTTGACAGTGACGAGGAGGCTCATGTTCGAAAGAGTAAGTGACCCCTGAACTGGCGGTTTCAGAGTTAAGAGCTAACACATGAATAGTGATCAAGATGATCACAGGACGGCTCGGCGCTGTTCGTAAGAAGAAGCAGATGATTGCAGAGGCCAACAGCCATGTTCAGCATGCCTACCAGCAGGCACCACGCCGACGAAGCGGCGATGTGACACCACGCAGCGTTCCTTCACATGCATCCTCGTGAGTGAGGGGGTTGACGAAGTGATGGCGAAGCACCATGAAATACGCAACGATATTCATACCATTCTACAAACCCTATGGGTTTACATGTGTTACTCGCCATCATATTTGGGATTCAGGGCATCACGGGAGCTCGGCCTGCGGCTCACAGAAGCAGGCCAGCAGATTGTCACCGAGTATACCTAGGTATAGGATCTATCTATATGGAGCGGGCGTTTGGGATTGTTTTGATTTAGGCTAGGCATGGGACGGAGATCTCATTGGAGGGCGTTTCTGGATTGCTTTTCACTTGCTGCTCGTTTTTCTTTCAGTGTGGAAATATTGAAAGCCCTGGAAGTCGTTCATTGACCTGTTGGCATAGGGCCTTGCCACGTATGGCAAGGCAGATTAGGAGGAGGACAAAGAAGATGTGCTACTAGGCACTACCAGGTGCTTCCAGGGCTGGTTGCCTGAGATGACACCCATCTCTGTTTGTGTTGGCAAGTTCATGGCGGTGCTTGACACCGCCCGAGGTGCAAGGATTGGCTAGGGAGAAGCCTCTCATTCGTGTTACGATATTGAAGATGCATAGGGACATTAGCATTCCCAAAGAACAAAAAATGACAACTTCTGGGTTTCCTAGGTTGGAAATCTGGGTCACAACATTTGGTACATGGTGACTGCTTCGGTGGAAGTGATGGTAACGAACAAGCGTTTACGTGGGAGATGACATATCATGTACAGACAGAACTTGTCCAGCTCAAGAGTGGTCACGGGTCTAAGTCACTGGGTGTTTCTGGCTTGTGCGCTTTCCGCATTGATCATTCACATTGAAGATTGCGTCGGATTTCTTTGTTCTGTTGCAGAAACGGACAACGCAAGCTTGTTCACCCACCACCTTCAGCCCACACCACCAAAATTCACCTCGCATATAAACCAACACACATGAGCTTCATAGCCACGTCACCTTTTTTCCATTCCATCTCATCTATAAAGAGAGACTCGTAAGTTAACTTCTCAGCTCTGAACTAAAGCCTTTCCCAGATACATACCAAGAACCAACCATCCATACATCCATCACACCATGCCCAACAACAAGAACACGGCCGATCCCCAGGAGCCTCCACCGCCTCCGCCACCTCGAGCACCCCCTGATCTCCTTACTATGGTCAAACTGGTCTTTTACATTCGTGTAAACGCCGTCCTCCACCAACGCCAAGAAGCAGCAGACAGAGAAGTTGACGAATACTGGCGCATGCGGGATGAAAAAGATGCCAAGAAAGCTGTAAAGCCAGTACGCCAAAGAGCGAGGGAGATACAGGAGAAAAGGGAGGCGATGCGAAGACCTGCCCCCTATATCTACCGTCGTCCCGAGGTAGACCCTCGTGAAAAACTCACGTGGAGAGAGATTGATCGCCTCATGGACGAGGAGGTGGAAAAGGAAGTCAACGTGGGACTCGGGTTGAAGCGCGCAGAGGGTGAGACGTTGAAGGCGTATTACCAACGCATGGATGATCTTGAACATCGTCTCGATCGATGGATCAGCATCGAGTACTATCGACAGCAAAACGGTCCGCTACGATACATGGATGGTATGCCCGTGAGTCTCATTGCCGTTCATCGTAACATACGTCCTATAAAGCCACCCAAGCCGACAAAGAGGAAGCCATGTCTACAGTGTAAAGCCCGAGGCCTACCCTGCTCGCGAACACTCGACTTTAGATACGGGCCCGCAGTGGGCCGGAATCCGAAAAAGGAGGACTGTTCGAGATGTAAGAGGAATGGGGATCGGTGTTTGATCATGTGGGATTGGCAGACTGATGATGGTGAGAATCACAAGATTTGGAAGTATACTGGAGGTCCTAGAGAGGATCAAGCCGAGTGTGTCAGGAAGTGGATGGACAAGATCAAGGAGAGTCAACGCATCAAGCCACTTCCAGCGTGGCACGAGAATGATCACTCTGAGAATAAGAGGGATGACGAGTATCAACCCAAGGGTTGGTGGCATGTGTTGAAGGATGGACTCACTGAGTGGTGATGAGTTGTAGATAGCAACCTTGTTTGCCTGTATAAACCTCAGGTACATGGGCCAAAGAGAGCATCGCGCCAGATTCATAAACCCATTTCCCAGGTTCCTCTCCCTAATTGCGCTTCATTAGATGCTCCTTGATGCGCCCAGACTCATTCCGTGAAATCCATTCGTTAATTCATCCGTTAAACGCCCTGAAGAGAAAACAATGCCCCGTTTACCTGTTCCAGTTCCCCATTGTTAGTTATTTCGTGAACGGTCGTGAACCCACTTAAACAACAAAACTCCCAATCCCAGGATAAACACAGTCGTAGAAGTATTTCTACCTCAGAATCGAATCTTTGGGACATCCAGCTGCTCTCTTCCGGTCGATTTGTCCATTGCGTCATATGTGCTCTTTCGCTTCTTGGGGCTCACTGGAGCTGGTGGTGCAAGCGTCTCAAGAGGGGTGCTTGGAATAGATTCGTCAACGAGAAACTTGGAGTTCGATCTCTGAAGCTCGAGGAGGACGTTTTCGCGATGGAAATGGTTGACAGACCGCGGTAGGTGTCTGGCTAATCCAGGCAGAGGATGCAGTTCGGTGCCATGGGTCTTGATCCTGGGGATTCTCTTGCGCTTTGTTCCGATCTCGGCATGTCTGGGGTGTTCCGGCTTGAGAAACCCATGCCAGGGAGGCTGTGGATGCTCCGACTTGATATCTTTCTTCCTCATTTCGTTGGGGCTGGTACCTGTTGAACGTGTTGACCGAGTTGGCACCACAAAAGGCGACGAGACTTCATCGTCCATGCTGTCAGCGCTTCGTTGAGCGAGGTCCTCTTCATCGACTATGGTCGAGTTGTCGGCCCGTCTCTTGCTTCGCACTGGCGTTCTCGTAAAATACTGACTGGAAGACCTGGACTCTCTTGTCGGTGTCGGTGGGCCAGACTTGATCAGGCATGGCAGCTCCCAAGGCATTGGCTTTAGCTTATCATGGGGCTTCCAGTAGGACATGATTCTCCTGTCAAGCAGCCGAAAGAACTTGAGATGCCTCGCTGGAGTACACAGCCATTCGTGCTCTTGCGCTTCATGGGCCGTCATTCTCTGCGAGGGGTCTCTCTGGAGACACATCCAGACAAAGTCGTATGCATTTAACGACGGCTGGCGCGGCAAGCTGTGGAAGAGATCTCGGACGTATCGCTCAATCTCGTCGTCATCCATTCGATTGAGGTCTTCGTCATGGTGTTCAGCTGCAAGGAGGATAGTAGCAACGACTCCCAATGACCAGATATCGACCGCCGACGTGTGAGATTGCCCGCTTCGCATGAACTCCCTATATGTTATCAGATACCAGCTCTATTTGGCAGTTGGTGTAATGGACTCACGGTGCCTGGTATGCTGTCGTTCCAGCATTGGTAGTCATCCTGTTGCAGTGGTGGATAGCCGAAATACCAAAATCTGAGAGCATAACCCGATGGTATGCAATCTTTGGAGAATACGCCAAGAGAATATTCTCCGGTTTGAGATCGCGATGGACGATGCCTTTCTCATGAAGGTAGCAAAGTCCACGAACCACCTGGCGAATAATGATTCGTGCGTCAAACTCTTTGGCCTGCCCATGGCGAAACAAGAAGGACATGAGATCGCCCCCGGAGGCAAGTTCTGTGAAGGTATAGCTGTTTTGTGAGATAAGTGATGCATTGGTAGGTACACCATTACTTACAGTGTATGGGGAGAAGTGATGGCATCGACGTATGGCAGAATATTGGGCTATATCAAGTTAGCAATGCGGTTTCTTGGTAACTAAGGACGACTGCTTACATGTCGCAGCTGTCGCAAGATGTCGGCCTCTTGGAACTTGCGTCGAATGTCTTCTTGAGCATTCCTCCCTTGAAGCTTGTCGAGATTGACGATTTTGCAGACCAACTGCTTCCCAGTCGAGACTTCGTTGGCCAAGCAGACGGCAGCTTCTGCTCCTTGGCCGAGACGACGTTCTGTGACTTGGTACCTGTGCGCAAACAACTATGGCAACCATGTTAGACAAGGGTTTCACAAGATATATCCAATACAACATACCTCGCACTCCCCAAGTTGTAGACTGGTCAGTTCATGGCGGGGAGGGGGATGTTCTTGAACGACTGTGAACTTCTAGTAAGGTCGAATCTCAATGACATCGCCATCCTGCAGCAGATATCCAGCGGTAATCTCTGGACCACGGCCAATGAGCTGATCGTTGACGAATGTCCCATTGGATGACTTTCTATCGCGAACGTAAATGTGGTTGACGGTTGGTTCGTACTCGATGACATAGACTTCACAGTGGTTTCGAGAGACCATCAAGTCAGCATCATCGTCGATCGCCAACGTGCTGCGGATGTGAGTAAGAATCCATCAGGTGGCTTCAACAGAATCTCACTTGAAGTTAGGGTCTCGCCCAATTTTGAAGATCTCCTTGTGCCAGAGTGGAAGCAGTACTATGAAGCTAGTTAGGAGGAGCCACTCGAGGTGGAGAAGGACAGCTCGTGGAGTGGGAAAGGCATACTCTGAGATTGATGACTGCTTCGGTTGTCTACGAGATGAAGGTAGGCGGCTGGAGAGCCTGGTGATGGCGCTCGATCCTGATGTTCGTAGTCCATGTTGAGTCTCGCAAGTCTCAATGTCGATCCATCGAGCCGTGTAAGTGGCCTGCAGGGGTTGTTGAAGGAGGAGAATCCGTCTCGCAGGCAGAGAAGTGCAAGGTCAAGATGAGAGTTGACCTTTGCAGCCTGTGGGCGAGAATTTGCCCTTCAATTGAGATCCCGTTTGATTGTCCCCAACGCTCTCGACCCCGATTCAGATAATTGTTCCTTCCCTCTTGCCTCGAGGCAAGTTGTACTGTGCGCATTACAGTGCAAATCATTGAGCACTGTGCATCTGTCACTGTCTGCACCCAGAAATGTGGTGGTGCTTCCCCACGTGACCACGAGGGGTTGTGTGCCCTACCTATGACCTCCCAAAAGCTCTTGAAATCTCCCCGCGCAGCACCAGAAGTTGTTCCTCATCCCACCACGATTCTCATCCACGAAAGAGTAAGTACACGCGACCCCGGCCCAAGCTGGTCTTGGGACAGGCACTGAGTCATGCTCATTGCCGTCCTAAGCTACTTGCCTGCGCCGATGCGCATTTGCACTTCAGCTGCTAACATTCCGCGACAGCATCGTCGATCAAGATGAGAGCCAAATGGAGAAAGAAGCGGGTTCGCCGCCTTAAGCGCAAGAGAAGAAAGATGAGGGCTCGATCGTGAGTTTTCCTTGTCGCTGTCGATGCTATGCGCAATACTGACTATGCCCTTACAGCAAGTAAACAACTCGCACTTCAACCTGACTCGACTCATCTCTCATGATGTTACGACTTCACGCGCCTGAACGATGCCAGCAGCCGAAGCTGGGCGCTCACCGTCCGCGACGCCTTTGGGATCTCCCCGCGACCAACGGAGCTGGGATTTGACTTTGGGATCTACGTCAGGGTGGCAGAACCCCGCACAAGAGCGGTTGTTGGCAGTCACATGGGACATTACGACGGATGGGAACTTGACAATTGGACGGTCGGGAACAAAAGCGGTGTTTAGGGTCGAACCATCACCATGCTCGCAAAGACGATGCACTAAACGTGAATAAACGTTAAATGAAAAAGGACGAAAAATACCTTCCAATGTGTGTGCTTCGTGTGCTGTGCTTGTGCCCTCCTCGTGACGTCGATGCAAGCTCCAAGCTCCAGCTTGGTGTGTTAGCTTGATGCGGCAGAGCTTTGTGTTCTGCCTTGGAACGTACCTAAATGTCTACAAGGTCCAAACGACTCGGTAGACTCGAATTGACCGTCTATATCATGATTTGAGATTCAACCCTGTGTTTGGAGTTGAACATCAGCTCAGATGGTTCGACGTCACACAGACTCGCACCACCTGCGCAACTCGCGAGGCCGGTGGGGCGCACTCGAAGCTGCAGAAACATACAGTGGTTCACAGACTCAATTCCCATCCCGCTACGATGAATTGAATCGAAGGATATCCTCATTTTTGAATAGAATCCTAGAATACACAGCTTCGATGAAAACAATTGACACCCGTCTACAATCGCATTTCCAAATTCACCATATTGCGTATTACCTGCCATTGACTTCCCTCCACGGTGCTCAGCTGTCACCGCCTTCACCTCTGTCGGCTAAACAGCGGGCTCCCCGTTTTCTGCCGCCCGCCCAAATTTTTTTGATCTCCAAACTCCATCCCACCTCTGGGAGATCAAATCCTCCAGCGACGAGTCAAGTCGGCACAATTGACCTGACCATGGCCTCAGAAAGCAACAAGAAGCGCAAGAGGAGCGGAGAGTCGGGGGCCAAGCCCAAGAAGAAGGTCGCCATCGATGCGCCTCCCTCTTCAGCTGCCGTCTCCTCCGTCCTCCGACCCAAGTTCTGCCCACCCGTCATAGGTACCAACCACCGCCATCTCGAGATCAAGACCGACGTAGTACTAATTGGTCCTTTACAGCTACTATCCCGGGCTTCGAATTACCGAAAAATACCCCCTTTCACTCCTATGCGCCCAAGAATGGCGCCAAGTCAAAAACGAAGCAGCCCAAGTCTGCCGGCGAGAAGGAGTTTTTACTGCACTCGACGGCGCATCGCAGTCTCGACTACACAGCCAAGGCGGAAGGTCCTAGGGGCACCAAGCCTGCGCTGAATCACTTCCTCGGCATCTATGATCCCAAGACCGGAAAGCTCCAGGTGGTGGAGGCCAAGAAGATGACGGTTCGAGGCGCCGTGCGCGCAAAGCAGGCCTCGGCCGCTGCTACGGGCGAGCGCGATGCTAAACAGGTATGCCGCGATGCGCATTTACTAATATCGCATTTTGCTGACTTGAAACAGACTATGATGGAGCTCAAGACGGATCTTGGCCAGACATTTGGTACCAAGAAAGCCAAGAAGGCTATCCAGGAGAACGTCCTCAACGCCATCGCGCCTCAGAAGAAGGCGGGAGATGCACCCACCAAGATCGACGCCGCAGCTCGCGCCATGCTCAGCTCGGTCGGAGAAGTCACATCGACCATGGCGTCGCGGGAAGAGCTGCAGGCTGTGGTGGACGAGGCCAAGCCCGTGCCCGTCGCCAACGTGGACGCGACCGAGATCCAAGACGTCTACGACCCCAAGAAGATTATCGGCGCCGACATCCTCAACCTTGTGCCCGTCCGCGAATGGCAGGAGAAGGTGCAACACAAGGAGAGCATCCAGGTGCCCTCGCGCTTCGTGGCGGCGCGCGTCAACCGGGTGGCTGGCAACGAGGAGGCCGTAACACGACTCCGCGTGCTACGCTACTTCTTCTTCGTCCTCATGTTCTACCTCCACAGCAAGCCCGGCAAGGCGAGGGGAACCCGAAGCATACCACCCCGTGAGAAGCTCAGGGAGATTCTAGCGCCGGCACCCGAGGCCGTCATCGAGAGCATCCGGCGCAAGTTCTCGGACCGGGGCGAGATGCGCAAGTTCCACATAGACCTGCTGATGACGCACTGCTGCGTCTTTGCCTGCATCGTCGACAACTTTGAGGTGGACACGCAGAACCTACGCGACGACCTCAAGATTGACCAAAAGACCATGAACGGTTACTTCCACGAGATTGGCGGCCGCGTCAAGCCCGTGAGCAACAAGGACACCAAGACGACTATCCACGTTGCCCGACTTACCCTGCCTCTCAACTTTCCCAAGCAGAGACACATTGCTCCCAAGCGCCGTTAGGAATTTTCTGCAAAGGCTTATGTGAACGCTGGGTGATGAGTGGTGGGTGGTGTAGAGTGAGGGGAGGGGTCTTCATGTCGGTTTGCTCTTGATGAAGATAGAAAAATTGCATGCTCGGGGTTGCCTTGAGGGCGTGCCTTTGGTCAATGGAGTTGGTTGTGTGATTTGGAAGACATTTAATGCCTTTATTTGAAGTTTTTGAGACGTGGTATCCAAGAATTATTCCTCTTTGACTGTGCTGCATCTACGGATATTCCCCCCGTGGCACTCCGGCTCAGGATCCACAACAGGCCGAGGCTCCTCGGTGCAGATTGTGGGGAATCCTTGTCCGGGGTGTCATTGAGCGAGACCCCATGTTCCGTTACCCTACAGATAAAGAGAGAACTGAGTAAGACTCTTTTCTTGTTGATGACTTGTCTTTCATTCAATCTCGCTCATCCCATCTCTACATTGTCATTCTTCAGTTTCGATCTTGTTTCTCGTCTGTCAAGATGTCGACCGAATCCATCATAACGCTCGAGTATCGCGGCCGTATTGCTGTATTGACCATTGACAATGCGAGCAAGCTGAATGCCATGACGGGAGCTCATTACTATGACCTTTCCCAAAAGATGCGAGAGGTCGCAACCCATGATGAGGTGTTTATCACCGTCATCTTAGCCAAGGGCCGTTTCTTTTCCGCGTATGTGCTCTTCATGTTAAATTATCACAACCTCAATGCTAACACGACCACAGAGGAGCTGATGTAACATTCACCCGCGAGTCACCCTCGGGCAAGGACTCGCACAAGACCTGGCTCCAAAGCTTTGTCGCCTTCAACCTCAACATCACCCACGCCTTCGCAACGCACCCCAAGGTGCTAGTCGTAGGCCTCAACGGACCTGTCGTGGGCCTTACGGCAGCTCTCGTCGCCCACGCCGACTTCATCTACTGCACGCCCTCGGCCTTCCTCCTCACACCGTTCTCATCCATCGGTCTCGTTGCCGAGGGCGGAGCGTCGCGGGCTCTGGTGCTACGTCTTGGACCTGCGCGCGCGAACGAGGCGTTGTTGATGAGTCGACGCATCGGGGCTGAACAATTGGAGCGATGTGGATTTGTCAATGAGATTTTTAACGAAGCGGATGATGCCAAGTTTAACGAGAGGGTGCTGAAGGAGGTTGACGAGAGGTTGGGTGAGCATCTGGTCGGGGACAGCTTGACGAGGATTAAGAAGCTCATCAAGAGACCAGAGATGGAACTCATGCATACGCAGAATGTGCACGAGGTGTTTGCTGGTCTCGAGAGATTCCTGACGGGAGTACCGCAGCAGGAGTTTGCAAAGCTTGCAAGCGGCGCCAAGAGACACAAGCTGTAAGGCTTCTTTGGTATATCATCCTTGTGTGTAGAGTGCGAGCTGGTTTATGAAAGAGAAGGATAGAGTTCTCAAGACTTGATTATATCTACATCTATTATTCGTCCATATCCTATGCGAGCAGACCAAACAACACATGGGTTCGTTGCCAAAATTCGTTGGCCGATTTGGTGAGCCGCTGTCGTGCTGCCTCATCGTCCAGCTTAGAATGCTCGTACATCTTGTCCTCAAGATCTTGGAGAGTGCTACTTGTCTCCTCTATACTGCCAATGCATCGTTTTAGGAGAGCAACGTCAAAGAGCCACTGGGTAAAGAGGTCTGTCCTTTGTTCGGGGGTGAGACCGGACGCTTGTTCCTTGCTGACATCCTTGGCATCCTTCTCTTTCTCCGTTGCATCTTCCTCCTTTTCTTCCTCGTCATCGTCATCATCATCATCGTCCTTGGCAGGTTCCTCCTTGGGTGTGTCCATCTGAGATGAAACCTCTGTCAGGGCAGTCTCCCACATCTCGCAAAGCCGACGAC